GAGAGAGGGGAAAGGACACAGGTGATTCACTTGCTGCTGCGGCTCTAATCGGCCTCCTTCCACACTGACAGTGTTCAGACACCGCAGTGTTTCATTCATTGTCATTGTCACACACACACAAAAAAAAAACACAACACACTGCGATGCGCCATTGCCCAGTTTTCCCACAATGCGACAGCACAGCCAGGCCTGTCGGAGGAAGAGGAGGTGGAGGAGGAGGAGGGGGATGCGCGTTTTCGGCAAGCCGCAGAGCAGTGGCCGCTGCTCGGCGTTTACCGCATCGACCCGACACCCATCTCTGAAACTGGAGGTCTGGTGGAGGAATGCAGCTGGAGACACACAGACACAGGGCCCCACTGTTGCTGCTGCTGCAGCTGTGTGTGTGTGTGTAGGTGTCCATGTGTTATTGTATATGTGTGTGCATGCATCATTATCTGTGCATCAGTTTGTGAATTCCCCATATTCACATGTCTCTTTTCTATCCGCAGGGGCTTTGGGAAACAGGGATTCCAGTGCCAAGGTAAGAGCAGTGGCTCATTCACAAATCCCTCTCTTGCATATGGTTGTGGGTGTGTGGACGGATGTTCACTGTCTGAAGGAGTGTTGCTATGTGTTTATGTGTGTGTGTGTGTGTGTGTTTGTTGTATTCAGGGCTGCTGGTCTGCTCACTGTTAAAGAGTGACCTGTTGGCTCTTCCTTTGACGGCGTGTTGGTGTTGGCAGGCAGGTGTCAAACTCAAAGCAGGTGCTTGCCAGCAGTGATAAATGAGAGTGAGAACACTCTGAAGAGGCTCAGGCAGAAGAGACAGTGTGAGATGTAAGAGTAGAAGAGTCGGCAGAGTGGTTGAAAGCTGAGATGTCTGGTTTTGGCCATGGAGAAATGGGAGGAAGACAGACCAGGAAGTTAGATTTCTTGCGCTTTTTCTGTCCCTTAAACGCTGAGTCTGACATCTGATTGGATTTGTAAAATGGTGGGTTTGTGTGTGTGTGTGTGTGGGTGGTGATGTGTGTCTGCGGGTGGGCGGCCAGTCGTGGTGGCGGGTGGGTGTCTAGACACGGACCTCTGCACAGGAATGGTTTTCATAAACAGGCCCTTGCAGCAACATAGTGACACCCCTCACTCACATGCACGTTACCACACTGCAGCAGATACCGTCGTTCTGCTCGCAGTATCACTTCCTCCTCTTCACTGATCCATCTCAGACACCCATCTCAATCTCATCTGGCTCCTGTCATGTGACCAGCCAGTTAACGGGGTTAACGGAGACAAATGACCACATGAGTTTCCACATTATGCCTCTTGCTTAAGACTTCATTTATTTCGAGTTGTGTAAAAGTTGTGTGTGTGAGGTTGTGTCATTTTTAATAGCAGTAGAAAGCTTAAGTCCCCCCGTCGTCTCCTGAGGCTGCAGGCTTGTCAACAGCTCTGGTGGTGATACAGGAAATGCATTGGGGGTAGAGAAAATTAACACTGTATATGCTGGAGCTGGTGCGCTCAGCCTCCTGGACTTCAGTGAGCTTGTGTGTGGTGAGTTACCCTGACCTGATAACACATATGCAGACACACTTTAGAAAGCACGGACCAATCGGAGCCCTGCACAGGTAGAGCTGCTGTCAGATTGGATTTCGTGGTGAGTTTCCAACAGCTAACTGATAACTCAGAGATTCAGGGACGACCTCTTACTCAACTGGGTTTTAAGGGTTGTTTGTGAGTCGCTGATCAAAATACCACATTGATTTGGTGATTTGGTGATTTGCAGGTCAAAAGGGAGACAACTAGGTTAACCCTGGGCTAAATTTGACACAAAAAAACACATTTTTGGTAGCTTTCAACCACATAGAGAGAGAGATGGATGGATAGCTAGATATATAGATAGATAAAGCTTCAAAAAAACCTAGATATAACTTAATAGAATGGACAGCAAAAGAAAATATAAACACATGTTAAATACTATATACAGTAAACAAGTGTGCAGAGAAGTTTAAAACACAATGAGGTAGATGGTTTGACTCGTGGATTTGCTCAGCTGTCATTGGAAAAAGAAGAAGAGCTCATTTGTTTGTATTCAGATGAACAGCATAAAAAAAGGTAGAAAAAGGAAACTGTGTGTGCAGCTGCAAGAACTGGACCAAAGACAGGGGGAATACAGTACTCAAATACAGTGCACGGAGGCGTCCAGTTTAATTTTCCACTTGCGTGCACAGTCTGCGTGCTGCTGTCACAGAGTTTGGACTGCGTGCGGATGTCCCCACCGGGCTCCGAGAGGATCCTCACACACTTTGGCAGATGAAGATGTTCGATGAAGAACATTTAACATTTAATAAACTCACCTTGGTCTCTTGGTCAGAACAATCAATTAAGGAGGAAATAATCAACAATAACAAAAATAAGTTAAAATGTGGTTAACTTAGCACAATAAGTTTGACCTAATGAATGTAGTTAAAAAGCAGGGATGTAACAATACACTCAACTCACCATTCAGAACAGTTCCTGATGCAGTTTTCTCACTTTTTTAAAACAAAATTAAGACAAATTATATTAAAATATATTAATAGTTATTGAATAAATGATAGAATCCTTTTTATTTCCGAGCTAAACGATATAAACTGCGTATTTCCTTTTGTTTCCTTTGCGCCTTGATGCCACAGTTATTAGATTTATTGTTTTCATTGGAAATAACCTGAGAATTAAATAGTAAGATTTATTAACAAATATGTTGATTTCAAGTTCAAGGTCTTCTTTTATTCAGTGCACAGTTTATTTGAACATGTGTTCATAAATAAGGTCAATTAAATAACACATTTATTAAATATGTTACCTGAAATTATGTATGTGTGCATATAATGTTAAGATGATCGATGATTGTATTTTGGGGAGAAAGACCAGAACATGAGCTGCTGTTTTGTGTTCATGTTTGACACACAAATATAATTAACTCTCTTAATTTACTCTACACTGTTGTTTTAGCAACACACTTCAGCTGAAGCTGAAACAATTAGTCAATTAATTGATTAGTTCATAGAAAATGAATCAAGTTTTGTGTGTTTGGGCTTTTCCTGCTTCTTTGATGTGAGTTTTTGTCTGTTGTAATCCCTGTAAACTAAGTATCTTTGAGTTTTGGATTATTGATCAGACAAGGCACAGTGTGCTTATTAAACAACTAATTGATAAATGAATCAATAGATTAACCAGTAATGACCACAACACTTTACATTGCAATAAGACTTTGACCTGCAAATCACCAAATCAGATGCCACTGATATAATGCATCATCAATCAAATTGGATTTTATTTTCCTTAATTTGACCTACAGTAATATGAGAGTCAGCAGAGAGATTAGTAAAGTCTCTCCACTGGGTCCATTAGTCGGTCTGCTTTTTAGGCGTCATTTAAGCAGCATTTGATGACTATATTTCATCTTCTAGTCAGCAGCTGTTTACAGATCGGGTGCCACCCTATCATTCTTACCTCTTCCACTCTGCTCTGTCCATCAGTACCAACCATGTCGTGCTAGCGTTTCGGGAAGAGGGCTAAAAAAACGCTCCTAATTTAGCCGATGGAAAAACTGGCATTGCTGTTTTTTTTTTTTCTTGACCTCTGACCTCAAGATATCTGAATGATGAAGGGTTCTATGGAAACCCACGCAAGTTGTATAAATGTGTTATTTTCTCCTAGTGTGTTTGAGTATTTCTGCAGACTGGGCTCCATAAACGGTGTTGTAATAGCATAAACCGGGAATGACTGGAAGGCTGAGACACTTCATGACGCCCCTGCATAAGTCAGCGCCCCACTTGTGCCCCCCCAAAGTCAAAAAGTCCCTTCTAGTTAAATGTTAAAACAAAAAAGCTTCACTTTTCAACCTGGTTTTAACCCTCAAGAGTGAAAAACAGTTTGTGAGTCATATTAGTTTAAATGACTAATATGCAGTTTGTGGATTTTTATTTTATTTTACCTGACGTGAGAGACAAGTGAGAGCTCTGTAAACAAGAAACAGTGAGGACTGTGTGGCGTCTCGAGGAGAACTAGAGGAACAAGAAGGGTGTAGGTGCCGTTCAGTAGGAATGGGAGGTGCTCAAACATACATGCAAGTCGTCAACAACCTTCTTGATCAGAGGGAATGTCAGATATCCGGAGAAAGACCTGTTCTGACATGTAGGGCAGATTATTCTGTATGTGTGTTTGGATGACAAAGGTGCCGTCTGTGCATTTGTGGGTGTGTTTGAATACCTGTTCTGCAGGTAAAAGATTATCTTCTTTCTTTCCTGCCTTTTATATTTTTCTTTTATTGGCCATCATTTGTATGTGTGAGCACACCTGTGTGTGTGTGTGTGTGTGTGTGCTGACTGCAAAAAGAGGAAGTTACCCTCATGTAATTTCCTGCTAAAGAAAGATCCAGATGTCTGATCAGAGTTTGGACTGAGTGTTATAAAGTCCATTTTCTTTTTCTTTTTCATATCATCATATCTGATGGGTTACGGGAAAGTTTCACAAGAAGGTTTCTAATTTTGAAAAGTAGAAACCACTTTTTCCACTTTGGAAAAGTGTTTACTTTTGCAGTGTTTGAAGAAGTGCTCAGATCCTTTTATTTAACTTGAAGTGCAAATACAGACATACTTCATTACAGGTATTGGAGTCTTGCTTAAACCGTGCTTCAGAAAAAGTACAGACGTAATATCAGCTAAATGTACTTAAAGTATTAAGATAGAAGCACAGAAAAACAGCCTCTGTGACTGATAGTTCAGGGCCCCTCCAAAGGGTCACCAGATAAATCTGAGGGGTCATGAGATGATAAATGGGGATGGAGGAACGCAAAGTTCTGCTACATAAATTTGGAGTTATTTTCCTCTAACCTTTTGCCTTTTTGTGAAACGTTGGAGAGTTATAGCTCTTTAGCCCTTAGAGTTATTTAAATGAAACCGTGTGAGAAGTTTCAGGGCAGAAATACAGCAACGGTTCAAAAAGCCTCGGGAGACACAGGTTTAATCTTTAACAATGTGCCACATTTTAAAATCTTATCTTATATTTTTATGTGAAATATTGAAATGGAAAGTAATTAATGCAAAAGGCAAGGACCCTAAAAGACGCGTACACCCTCTGATAATGAAACTGACGTCACTAGTTGACCGCCACGTACTCGCCGACGTGGAAAGTATAATACCTGCTTTAATGTATTGCTCGCGTGACATTGTACTTCGGCACAGAGGTGCTTTGAGCTAAATGCTAACATCAGCATGCTAACAATGATAAAGCTAACATGCTGGCGTTAAGCAGGTATAATGTTTAGCAATAAACTTACACAACACATTCAGAAAAGATGCACATATGCATATACACAGGCCTATTATATTCTATTTCATTGTATATAGTGGATATATTTTATTTTGTTGTATTTTATTGTATTTTCTGTAGTCTTTGTTCTATGTTGCCCTTTGTTGCTGTGCCAACTTGAATTTCCCCTACGGGGGATCAATAAAGGGACTTCTTATCTTATCTTAATACAAAGTTCAGCCAAGGCTAATG